ACACACAGTAGATAGATGCTATAAAAAAACACGGATTTCCTCCCGGTTGGGTTCAGGGTTATAAATCCAAGAGTAAACAGCCAGTCACAGCAGCAGTTTTGAATAACTCAGACCTGGGGATAACATATGAACTGTTACAAAAGCTCATCTCAATCCTGCAGAATCAACCAGCTCAGCCATCCGGATCGTCTAGCTCAAATTTGACTGCTGCAATTGCTTTAACTCCTAAATTTGATGAACTACACACAGATAATGAAGGCAAGCACTAGTACAAAAAACATCAATAAAATCGAATTATTCGCGTCCAAAGTTTGAACTTTGGACGCCTAAAGTATAGTGCAGTGGCATTTTTGTAATTAAAATACCACTATATAATTTATTTTTTATTTTTTTTTTAAAAATTAAAAAGAATAGGCGTCCAAAGTTCTATAACTTTGGACGCTAATTGTCGCGCGTTATTTTTAAAAAAATAATCAGCGTCCAAAGTTGTATCACTTTGGACGCCCTCATGCTTTAAAAAAAAAATTAAATTAAATATTTACGCCTCTTCTTCTTCTTCTTCTTCAATACACTCTTCTTCTTCTTCTTCAATACACTCTTCTTCTTCAATACATCTTCTCAACAACCGGGTGGTGTGGAGTGCGGATATTATGTGATGAGATACATGTATGAAATATGCACTCTATATTCTGATTTTGAACATTTAGACACGGTATGTAAAATTTATTAAAACTATATAGTTTTAAATTATACTTTATTAATGTGAAACTGTTGTATTGTAGGTTTGAAAGCCTTTAGCTCGTGAAGAACGAAGAACAATAAGAACAGTAAAAAGACAATGAAGAACAGAGAAAAGGATTCTTATTTCATTAAAGTTCTCTGTACAATATTACATCATATATATAACAGCTATTCTAGAATCATACCATAAATATTATGCTGTTACAAATCAAAACATTAATGCTAGAATAATGTCCATAAATAGATTTTACAACACTCCCCCTTGGACATTATTTGCCATAGTCATGTCTCGTTAAAAACTCGCTAGAAAAACCCTGTGGGAAAAACCTAGTCGAGAAAAGAGTACATGATGTGTGGACAATCATGTGTTGCATTAGTTGCCTCATTAAAAACCTTACACTAAGAAAAACCCAGTGGGAAAAAACTTAGTTAAGGGAAAAAGAGTACAACTATAACCTTCTGGGTTTAATCTTCAGGATTCGCAAGAGTTGTTGGTCTTCTAGACCGTTAATTTATGTGCACCGAGATGTTGTTGCTCCCCCTGAGGACAACAACCTTTCTAACCTACGCATTCCGATTTTGTAAACATATTTCTCAAAGGTAGAAGTAGGTAAGGACTTAGTAAATAAATCTGCTAGATTTTCGCTTGATTGAACCTTTTGAACTTGTATGTCACCACTCTTCTGGAGCTCATGTGGATAAAAGAACTTTGGTGCAATATGTTTAGTGAGATTACCTTTAACATATCCGTTACTCATTTGTGCAACACATGCTGCATTGTCCTCATAAAGGACGGTGGGGGTCTTTCTAATACTCATTATTCCACACGAGTCTTGGATATTATGTATTAGTGACCTCAACCATACAGATTCTTTTGAGGCCTCGTATAAAGCAATGATTTCAGAGTGGTTAGATGAGGTAGCTACTAGTGTCTGTTTAACTGATTTCCATGAGATAGCAGTACCTCCATATAGGAATACAAAACCAGTCTGAGATCTAGCATTATGCGGATCAGACATAAAACCAGCATCCGCATATCCCACTAATGTGGTGTCTTGGTTTCTTTTAAATAGAAGCCCAAGATCCTTTGTACCTTGTAAATATCTGAGGATATGTTTTATGCCATTCCAATGCCTTCTGGTTGGAGCAGCACTAAAACGAGCTAGCATGTTTACTGAAAAAGCAATATCAGGTCTAGTGTTGTTGGCAAGATATAAAAGTGCTCCAATGGCACTTAAGTAGGGGACTTCTGGTCCTAGAATATCCTCATTATCTTTTTTAGGTCTGTACGGGTCCTTATCAACTTCAAGTGATCGGACTACCATTGGAGTACTAAGTGGATGTGACTTATCCATGTAGAATCTCTCCAGTAATTTGTTTGTGTATTTGGATTGATGTATGAATATTCCTTCAGGGAGGTGCTCGATCTGCAGGCCAAGACAAAACTTGGTTTTTCCCAAGTCTTTCATTTCGAATTCCTCCTTTAAACATAAGCATGCCCTCTTGACATCTTTGCATGTCCCTATAATGTTTATATCATCTACATAAATGGATATGATACAAAATCCATCAGATGATTTCTTAGTGAAGATGCAAGGACTAATATCGTTATTCTTATATCCTTGTTTTGAGAGGAATTCACTCAATCTATAAAACCACATTCTTCCTGATTGTTTTAAGCCATATAACGACTTTTGTAATTTTACGCTGAACATATTTTGATTTGTTTTTCCTTTACATAAAGGATTTTGGATGCCCTCGGGTATTTTCATATATATGTCAGCATCTAATGACCCATATAAATATGCGGTCACGACATCCATTAACTGCATTTCTAAATTCATTTTTACTGCCAACGATATTAGATAACGGAACGATGTGCCATCTAAGACAGGAGAGTAAGTTTGTTCAAAATCTATTCCAGGTCTCTGTGAGAACCCTTGAGCTACCAGTCTCGCTTTGTATTTGACCACCTCATTTTGTTCATTCCTCTTTCGTACAAATACCCATTTGGATCCTACTGGGATCACGCCTTTAGGGGTAAGTACAGGAGGACTAAACACTTTTCTTTTATTTAGCGAGTTGAGCTCAGCCTCAATTGCTTCTTTCCATTTCAACCAATCGGAGCGCTTCCGGCACTCTACTATAGTTTTTGGTTCTGGATCCAGATTATTGAATGAAATGTGAAGAGCAATTGTAGAGGCGAATTGGTCGTCGACGACTGTTACATTTCTATTAAGATTTTCTCCTGTTTCTAAAAAGTTTATGGCAGATTCTACATTTACTTCAACCAAGTCTTTCTCATTTGCTATCATATCTTGGTGAAGATGTTCCGTATTCCCAGTGTTAGATTTATTTGTAGCACGTGCATTTACACTGGGTATTTCGTCTTCAAGACGATTTTGGAGTAACTGTGATTGTTTATTGTTTTTGGCTTTCCGCGGATTTAAATCTTTTGCACCAACTGGTCTTCCACGCTTTTGGCGTTGGATAGTGTCGGTGTTAGTATTTGGTCCTTTGGGGACAATTATTCTTGATGGAACATTTTCTGCAGGAATATAGGACCTAGTTACTCCTTTATAATCAGTAAAGGCATCTGGCAGATTATTTGCTAGTTTTTGCAAATTTATTATTTTCTGAACTTCAAGTTCAGTTTGATTAGTACGTGGGTCAAGGTATTGAAGATCTTTTTCATTCCATGAAATTTCCTGGCATTTTTTCAAAGCTAGGCTTTTCTCTCCCCCTAATGCCGGGAAATGATCTTCATCAAACATGCAGTCAGCAAATCTTGCAGTAAACTGATCTGCTGTCATGGGCTCAAGGTATTTAATTATAGATGGGGATTCATACCCAATGTAAATACCTAACCTGCGATGTGGGCCCATCGAAGTACGATGTGGAGGTGGTATAGGTACGTAAACCGCACAACCAAAGACACGCAAATGAGAAATGTCTGGCTCATTACCACGTACAAGTTGTATCGGGGAGTATTCATGATATGCAGTTGGCCGGATTTGTATTAATTCAGCAGCATGCAATACTGCATGTCCCCAACAAGTGACTGGTAGACTGGACCGTTGCAGTAATGGTCTAGCTATTAGCTTAATTCTTTTGATAAGGGATTCAGCTAAACCATTCTGGGTGTGGACATATGGTACAGGATGTTCCACCTTAATCCCCATGGCCATACAATAATCGTCAAAAGCTGACGAGGTGAATTCACCAGCATTATCCATTCGTATGTTCTTAACAGGATAATCGGGGAATTGGGCATTCAACCTAATGATTTGGCTCATGAATTTTGCGAATGCCATATTTCGAGTGGACAACAAGCACACGTGTGTCCATCGGGTGGAAGCATCAATAAGGACCATGAAATATCGAAATGGTCCGGATGAAGGATGAATTGGTCCACAAATATCACCATGTAACCTCTGCAGGAAGACAGGTGATTCAAAACCAATCTTAGGACGTGAGGGTCGAACAATAAGTTTTCCCTTTGCACAGGGAACACAAGTATAGTCTTTTGTAGAAAGAATGTTCGTCCTAAGAAGGTTATGTCCAGTCGAATTAGAAAGTATCCGGCTTATCATTGTTTGCCCAGGGTGACCTAAGCGGTCATGCCATAGACCGAAAGAATGTGTATCTTTATATTTCACCGCATGTGAAATGCAGGAAATTTGGGGCCTGATATAACAATAATACAGGCCGGAAGAAAAGGAAGGAAGTTCTTCAATTTCCTTTTTCTGGTTATTGACTGTTTTGGTCAATACAAGGAATTCTGTATTGTTTTTTGTTTTAGTTTCTATGTGAAACCCATTTGACCGAATATCCTTGAAACTAAGTAAAGTCCTTTTTGATTGAGGATATAGGAGGGCGGTTTCAATTATTAACTTCGTTCCGTTAGGAAGAATAAGTGAAGCTCTTCCAGAGCCCACAATAGGAATGTTATCATTTGCTATTGTTGAGAGTTTGCCTTCGTGTTCGTTGAGTGTTTGGAAAAATCTTCTGTCTGTCAAAACAGTGTGCGTAGTTGCACTATCGACCAAGCATAAAGCAAAAACATCCCCCATATCTCTATAGAAAACGAGTAGTTAGGAAAAAGGAGGGATGGATATTTTATTCATCAGAAGATTTATTTAAAGAACATAGAGTACTCGTTCTAAAAAAAACACACAACCACTGAAAAGTACGAAAGAAACTGTCGTGGGCAAACCACGATTATTACATAAAACAAGAATTATGGAAAAGAAAAGGAATCATTCTTGATCTCCAAAATCTTCAAGCTCATACTTCATGAGGTCATCATCGTCAGCATTAACAAGTGCGTTTGCTTCTGGTAACGCAACATGGTGGGACTCATTTTTAGGTTGTGTTTTGTCCCTCTTCATCATTTGCTGATATGCCTCTACCAAATGCTTCGGGGTGCGACATGTACGAGACCAGTGTCCTGTGCACCCACATCTATAGCAGGCTTGCTGCTGCCCGGAATGATTATTGGATGAGCTTGGTTGTCCTTGATGTTTCGGCTGCCTTTGCTTGTTGCGGGAGTTATGATTCTTGTTGCCTCCATTTCTTCCTCCACGACTCGTACCCCTTCCACGACCTCTTCCTCGTCCTCTACCTCGACCCCCCCTAGTGTTGCTCGACTGGGCAACATTGTGTGCTTCAGGCGCTGGTGCAGAGCCAATAGGGCGTGCATTATGGTTTCGCATTAACAACTGGTTATGCTTCTCAGCTACTAGGAGGGCAGAGATCAGCTCAGCATGCTGGGTATAGTTTTTGGCCCTGTACTGCTGCTGGAGTACAAGGTTACTAGCATGAAAGGTGGACAAAGTCTTTTCGATCAAGTCTTTGTCAGAAACTTCTTGCTCACAGAGCTTGAGCTGTGACACAATTTTGTGTAATACTGAATTATATTCGGTGACAGACTTATAGTCTTGGAACCTCAAATTCAGCCAGTCATATTGTGCCTGGGGGAGGACAAGTGATATTTGTTGATCAAATCGATCCTTGAGAGATTTCCATAAAATGTAGGGGTCCTTTTCGGTAAGATATTCATTCTTAAGATCATGATTAAGATGGTGGCGGAGGAAGATTAGTGCTTTGGCCTTCTGGGCTGCATCGCTTGTGGAATCAGCAATAATAGTATTTTGTAGCTCAGTTGATGTGAGATAAATCTCAACATCAAGAGCCCAAGTCAAATAGTTGCTCCCGTCTAGGGCCAATTCGGTAAATTCACGCTTGGTTAGGGCAGCCATAATCTACAAAAAATTATTAGGAATATTTTATTATCCTAAAATCAGCCCACAATATGATTGGAAGAAGAAAATAGGCCCAAAGAAGAAAATAGGCCCAATTATAGGCTCATGGTAGAAAATATCACAATTTTTGGCCCAATGAAAGAAAATGGATAATGAACTAAAATGATGCTGGCCCAATTAAGATAAATGGGATGAAAGATTAGGTTTAAATTATTTTGGTCTGCAAAGAAAAGATAGAAACGGTAGATCATCATCATCATCATCGCAATCACAGCAGACCATCATCATCATCACAATCACTTCCACTAATTATTTTGGCCCAATTATTTTGCTTCGTTCGTCAAATAGGCAGATCATCATCGCAATCGTGCTGCCGCTATGGCCGGAGCCTCTATCGCTGCCACTACCGCCGATCGGCGTTACCTGCTCAGAGCAGCGGCGCCACCAATCGCCGGACATCGGCACACTAAACCGCTTCCGCCATCGCCGATCATTGAAAATCGTGAACACAAATCGAGCCATCGACTCCGATCATCGAGGTTTGATTGATTTTATTTATTTATTTTATTTACAGATGTTTGGGAAGAACACAGTATGTAAAAAAAACACACATCTGTTTCGAAAAAAATGCAGTAAAACATACACAATATGTAAACAACAATTATTTTTACTCATAAATCATTCATATATTTTCGATTTTGATTTTTGGAATATAGATTTTGATATGTAGTTCGGGGATTTTTAACACATAAAACGGGGAAAAATAAACATATTGACAGAAAAACATATATTCTGGAGATTATATAAACATACAGGCATGTATAAATTTCTGGAAAAGCATATATCCACCCTTGATATTCTGTTAGGATTTTTATTTTATTTTATTTTATTTTTAATATTAGAATTTTTTTATTATATAAATATCAATCCGGAAGATTGTTATCTGTTAGGCTTATATAAATATTAGGTTTTTTTTTTTTTAAAAAGAAATTCGAGAAATTTGTTTATATATAAAAAAAACTCTGTTAAGAAAAGTTTCTGTATAAGAAAAATAGCATATAATCTGAAAAAAAATTTGTTTAATATTTGTAAATGTGTTCATAAACGATATGCAATGTAGCAGGATTTTGATATGCAATATAATCCATAAAATAACAAGACATAAAAAGTTTATAGGATTACCGTTCACCGGGATTGAGCGTGTGCTGATAACGTGTTGTATTGCAGGTTTGAAAGCCTTTAGCTCGTGAAGAACGAAGAACAATAAGAACAGTAAAAAGACAATGAAGAACAGAGAAAAGGATTCTTATTTCATTAAAGTTCTCTGTACAATATTACATCATATATATAACAGCTATTCTAGAATCATACCATAAATATTATGCTGTTACAAATCAAAACATTAATGCTAGAATAATGTCCATAAATAGATTTTACAACAGAAACTAATTAATTGATTATTTTAAATTTTTGTAGGCATTTGATGCAAAGCCTTACTCACAAGAGCAAATTGATGAGATTTGTGAGGTTTGGTCTAAATATTTTATTGAAGAATGCATATAACTTTGAAATGTTGAGAACTTTCATTTGAATTGTTGAGAACTTAGAAGTGTTGTGAATTTATGCATTGAAGTGTTGGTAATGAAGTTTAGTTTACTTTTTGTTGAGAACTTTGAAGTGTTGTGAATTTTGGCATTAAAGTGCTAAAGTGTTAGTAATGAAGTTTAGTTTACTTTGTGTTTAAACCTTTGAAGTGTTGATGTATGTTGTGAATTGAATATATTGAAGTTTAGTTTAAATATATATATGTTGTGAATGTATTTAGTTTGCTTAGTGCTAAAGTGTTGGTAATAGTATATGTGTATTGAAGTTTAATTTAGTTTACATATATATATGTTGTGAATGTATTGATGAAGTTTAGTTCAATGCTTTGAAGTCGCAGTATAGTGGTTGTGGCTGCATGTACAGGTTGTGAATAATAGTTTTGTACAGGAAAAAATTGGAAATTTTATCAAATAAATATAAAATAAAATTATATATATATATATATATATATATATATATATATATATATATATATATATATATATATATATAATAGGAGTCCAAAGTTCGTGGACTTTGGACGCCTATTGTATTTTAAAAGAAAAATAAAACTACTTTAGGTGTCTAAAGTTTCGTAAACTTTGGACCCCTAAAGGTAATTTAAAAAAAAAAAATACAACAGGCGTCCAAAGTCAACGAACTTTGGACTCCTATTGTAGTTTTAGGCGTCCAAGTAACTTTGGACGCTGATTGTCTATGACAATCAGCGTCCCCTGCATAGGCGTCCAAGCAACTTTGGACTCTTATTGTCCATTTGCTTGGACGCCTATGACCTGTTCTGTAGTAGTGAAGTTTTCTATTAACTCCCTTTCCCTAAATTCTTAAACTTGGATCCTTGACTTGGGAGCCATAAATCACATAGTGTGCTCCCTTGATTCTCTTACCACTTGTCACATGGTGAATGGGGTTAAAGTGCACCTTCCCACTGGCCAATGCATAACAGTTGAGCATGTAGGGGATGTCAAGCTTAATAACAGTTTGTATCTAAAGGAAGCACTGCATATTCCATCTTTCAAATTTAATATTATTTCTGTGAGTAAGTTGATTGAAGATACTGCCCATAGACTGATTTTCATATCTAAACAGTGCATAATCCAGGGGATTCATGGGCAGATAGCTGGTTTAGCTAGAGAAGAAAAAGGCCTATACATAATGGTGGAACCAAAGTCACAAAATAAGCATTATGTTATGCAGTGCATTAGCCCGGAGCTCTGGCACCAAAGGTTGGGTCATTTTCCAACCAACAAGCTCCATCTCCTTTGTGACATTGATACCTCAAAAATTAAGAGTGTAGCATGTGATGTGTGCCATTTAGCTAAGCACAAACGCTCTCCCTTTCCTTTAAGCACTACTCGTTCGAAAGCTTGTTTTGATTTGGTTCATGTTGATATATGGGGACCTTTCCCGTTTTGTTTATTGAAAGGTGAATATTTCTTTCTTACTATAGTTGATGATTACTCACGATTTACATGGGTGCATTTGATGAAAACTAAAGCTGAAACTAGACAATTTGTGAAGCGGTTTCATGCATATGTGTTTACTCAATTTGGTAAGATGATAAAAATCATTCGAAGTGACAATGGAGTTGAGTTTAGAATGGATGATTTTTTCTTAGAAAAGGTATTGTTCATCAACGTTCTTGTGTCAACACTCCTCAACAAAATGCAGTTGTTGAGCGTAAGCATCAACACATTCTTAATGTTGCTAGATCACTTCGTTTTCAAGCTCATCTTCCTTTGGATTTTTGGGGCCATTGCGTGATGCATGCAGTTTTCTTGATAAATAGGCTTCCTTCTCCAGTGATCAATATCTCCACTCTGTATCATATATTATATGGAAGCGCCCCAGACATAAGATCCCTTCGAGTTTTTGGCTGCTTGTGTTATGCTGCCACAAATTCTAAGGCGAGGCATAAAATGGCTCCCCGAGGGAAAATGTATATTTTTATTGGCATACCAGCTGGAATCAAAGGATATTTATTATATGATATGGATGAAGGATCTACTATTATCTCTAGGGATGTTATATTTTATGAATCCCAATTTCCTATGGCAGAGAAGGGTATGCATAAACAGACTCAATCTCCACAACCATCTCTGCCCAATATTCCCACCTCCATGGACATAGGATTGCATGATCCGCTTGTTCATGATTTTGGCCTTCCACAACCATCTCTGCCCAATATTCCCACCTCCATGGACATAGGATTGCATGATCCGCTTGTTCATGATTTTGGCGCAGATCATTCCAGCGATGACACTCAGCATACTATTGATACTCAGTCTCCTGAATCTGCCCGAGCTAGCAGCGATCTAGCTCCTGTTGATTTGCAACCACGACGTTCAGACAGAAACAGATGTGTTCCAAGTAAGCTCCTAGACTACTATTGCGATACAGCCGCGATCACGACTCAGGGCACCTCACCCCACAGTTTATCTAGAGTTATATCCTACAGCCATCTTTCTTTGCCTCACATGAAATTCTCCATGGCTGTAGCATCCATCAAAGAGCCACAGACCTATAGTCAAGCCATATGTGATGATCATTGGAAAGAAGCTATGGTTGCTGAAATCAAGGCACTACAAGACAATCATACATGGACCTTGGTTGATTTGCCCCTCGGAAGACACCCATAGGGTGTAAATGGGTATATAAGGTAAAGCTCAAGGCGGATGGATCGGTGGAACGCTATAAGGCCAGATTGGTAGCCAAGAGCTACACTCAACAGTTGGGAATTGACTATATAGAAACTTTTTCCCCGATTGCGAGAATGACCACCATTCGCACCTTCCTAGTTGTGGCATCCTCTCAAGCATGGCTTTTTCATCAACTAGACATCAATAACGCTTTCCTCCATGGTGACTTAGTTGAGGAAGTTTACATGGTGCTTCCACCTGGCTTTCAAGGGGAGAAACAAGGGCAGGTTTGCAAGTTACTAAGATCACTCTATGGCCTTAAACAAGCCAGCCGACAGTGGAATGCTAAGTTGAGTGCCGACTTGATTAGCAATGGTTTCCAACAGTCCAAGTTTGATCCTTCTTTGTTCACTAGAGGACATGCTGCATCATTCATAGCAGTCCTTGTCTATGTAGATGGCATCCTCGTCACAAGTCCTAGCTCACATCTCATTCAAGAACTTAAGACATTTCTTGACAATACTTTTAAAATCAATGACTTGGGAAGTTTGGGGTACTTTCTGGGTATTGAAGCACATATGACAATAGATAGTTTGAACCTCTGCCAAAGGAAATACGCTTTAGACATAATTGAAGAGGCTGGTTTTCTTCACAGCAAACCGGTTGATACTCCCATGGTCCCTGGAACACGTCTAACCAAAGAAGGAGGTTCTCTTCTCAAAGATCCTTCTGGTTATAGACGTTTGATTGGTAGGTTGTTGTATCTCACAGCAACAAGGCCAGATATTTCATACGCAACTCAGCAGTTAAGTCAATATGTCGACTCTCCAACTTCGGACCACTTGACTGCCGCTCACCGAGTCCTTCGTTATATCAAGAAAGCCCCTGGCCAGGGCTTGCTATATCCAAGAAATAATAAAATGGAGTTGAATGTTTTTTTAGATTCTGATTGGGCCTCATGTCCAGAAACTCGCAAATCCATTATGGGTTTCTGTATCTTTATAGGCTCTGCCCTTGTTTCGTGGAGATCAAAGAAACAAGCCACTGTCTCTCGTTCTTCATCCGAAGCAGAGTATCGTCCCTTGGCTGCCACTGTCTGCGAGGTGCAGTGGGTCCACTCCTTACTCCATGATTTGCAAATCAAACCAAACAAGCCTGCCGCCGTATTCTGTGATAGCAAATCAGCTATTGCTATCGCTGAGAATCACGTATTTCATGAATGTACAAAGCATAGAGATATAGATTGTCACATTGTTCGTGAAAGACTCAGCCAAGGTTTCATCAAGTTATTGTCTGTTTCCTCTTCTACGCAGATTGCAGATGGTCTGACCAAGGCGTTACCCTCTCCAGCATTTCATATCTTCAAGTCTAAACTGGCCATTGAGGACCTCCATGCTCCAGTTTATGGGGGGGGGGGGGGGGTATTAGACTCCAAAAATCATGCAGCAATTCATTCCTAAGACTCCAAAAATCATGCAGCAATTCATTCCTAAATATTAGACTCCATAAATCATGCATCCATTCATTTCTAAATTCTAGCAGTATAGAATAAAGGACTTCAGTATCTTCATTATATATATGTTGAGGTTACTAGTAATCTTTGTAACAAAAAGAATATAACTATAAAACTATTCTTTTCCTTCTTTTCTCCTTCTTGATTCTGCATGTGAAGCTTCCGTTAGTTGAAAAGTTAGTTTTAGGAGAAAATATAATATTCCTCCGTCTAATTTTATGTGTTGAATTCAGATAACAAGGCTTATTCAATTCCCTCAATTGATGAGGCATGTCCTGTCCACAAACTACTAGTCATAATCGTGTTATTAATGTTGAGGTTCCCATGAAAAGGGAGACGATAAGTACTTGTTCTCAAAAAAAAAAAAAAAAAAAAAAAAAGGCGATAAGTACTAGAATTATTCTTGCCCACAATTCATTTACTAACACTGAAAATTCAGTACGTATTTTACAATATTCAATTTCTATTAGTACTTAAGTGTATACATAGACGTACGAAATACTTTAATTAATATTAATAAGATTGGTACAATAAATATATTATGATTATATCAACTTCATTGCCACTCTGACTAGCTTGATTGACGTGAGTGACCGCATGTACTCTTTCCCCTTAAGAAAAGTCGGGAATTCACTTTATCGCTTAATTGGGTTGGTTCGGTGCAAATGGAAATTATTTTGAATACGGTACCAAAATTTTTTTTATTTGTCTTTTATTTCTTGAGAGCTTGAAGATCAACATAGTACTTGGTTATCCATCCTTGTATTATCTCAACCTCCCTTTTCCGTTGCTCGGTTAACCAATCTGAATCCGTTTTACTTTTCCCAAGTATGTCCAAACAATGAGACCCTACAACACCCAAATAAAATATATTATAATACTTTCATCAACTTATTATATATACTTTATCCCATTATATATGGAAAATTTTGAAGTGTCCATCAATATTAGTATTGTTTACACTATATATTAATAATATTTGGTATAATTCAAAAATCATACATGGTTCTACTTGGTGTAAAAGATATTAATATTGATCAGAATTGTAAACTCCGAAATATGTATATAGACCAACATACCATTATGGGTATAGATGGCAAGTATAGTATCTGATATGTTCTCCAAAACCCTATCAATGTACCAGAAACCAAAAAGAATAACATAAGATATAAGGTTAGTAATTAAAAAAAAAAACATTAATAACTTAAAAAGAAAGTCGATATAAGCTAAGTACATATTGTTCCTTTCATTCATTAATATATGACTTTGCCTGTTTTCAAAAAAAAAATATTCCACAAACCAAACAATAAAATTTGAATTCTAACCTTATTTCCTCATTATTCATTCTCATGAGATAATTTTTTCCCCGTAATTCCCTCATTGCAACCAAACATCATGTAAGAGTTTAAATCTAAGGCATTTAAAATGATAATAAACTAAATTCTATACTACAATTTTCTATCAGGACTATGTGGTCTAATGGTATCCGGGTTGGACTTCCATTTGGAAGATTGTGAGCTGAGTTCAAGTCTCAGTGGAGGCGTTATTGGTTCTTTGTATTTTAGTAGGTTGAGAAAGTATATGAGTAGATACTACATTGTAATAGAGCCAATAGCATTCAAAAAAATACTACAATTTTCTACACAACATAATTAATCTATTTTACAAACCAATAAGGGAAATTGTGAGTATAGCATTTTCCGTTAATATTAATTAATTCCGTTGAAACATCTCATAAGCATTAAATTTAGTAAAAACCCTTTTTAATTACTTATAGTCATTTGATTTTTACTGCATGTGGAGGACCTTTTCAACCGTGTAGAAGAAAAATGATTATAACCAATCATTGGAATATAATGGTCCTCCACCTTTCTCTTAATAATAATGGCGCCATTGCAATCTCTATTATTTTCTACATACTAGACAACGAAATTTGGTAGGAGTTAGTTGAAATGTCATGTTTTTATTAATTTCTTTTATATATTAGTTCTTTTCATCTAAAAATTGATGTTACATGGAATTTATTTTTTGAAAGTTTAATCTTTTTTGGTGTTTTTTTTTTTAATGACAAGGAAAACTCATAATCACTATGTGACAGACTTAACCGATAAGGTGTTAACAAAAATTAAACTGATAATCTTTTGATACGAAAATCACTTTCCAACCATTTAATTAGCCACCCCTACCCGGGCTTGAAAGTTGTTGCATGTGTGGACATGCATACATTTCCATTTCATTATTTATTTATTCTTTATTTTTTGTTGGTAGACACAAATTAAATCCACTAAATATAAAATTTTAAAATTTTACATTATTCCGTTTATATATCTTGATTTAGATGAAAAATGCTTTAAATAATTTTATATTATTAAATAAAATAAATAGGTCAAGCACCTTGTGCTTAGATGGCATGTATTGACATTTCTCATGTGGGAGGTCATGAGATCAAACTTGAATGGAGACGTTTCTGCCCATACTTTACCAGTACCAATCATTCTTCTTTGGGATGTTCTTGTATTTTTTTTTCCTTCAACCCTCTAACTTTCTCCTCCATCTCTTTTATCTTTTCAAAAATATTACCAAATGTTTCCTAATTCCACTTCTTCAACATTATATTTTTTTCACATTTTCAGCTTGGTTTTGAATGTGAACATTGCATTCCCTTCCACTTTGATCCTCTATTCTTCCTCCACTATACTCTGAAACTGTTTATGCTCCCCCCACATGTTCTGAAAAATAAATGGTTTTTTCCACATCTTTTGTTTAGCCTCCACTCCCATTAGCAAGCTAAGGGGGAGTGGTCAGAAGTTCTTTTGACTAAGTGTTGAATGTGTGTCTGCAATTTATCCTCCCAGGGGCCATTAATAAAGCCCTTATCCAGCCTTTTCCATATTGCCTGCTTCCCTTTCCTACCATTCCACCAGGTGTACTGCCCCCCCATAAAAAACCACCTCCCTCAACTCAGCCATATCTACACAGTTCTGAAAATCTCTGCTTTTAGCCATATTCAAAAAATCAGTTATTCCCCGTAACAACGATATCATCAACATATACTAGCAAATAAACAAGCCCACCGCCCAAATTAAACACAAATCACTACTAGAAATTATGCAATTTCCGACCACCTGAAAATGATCTTAAATCAAGTTAAAAGTCTTTGTTTCGACTACTTTTAGTATCCGGAAAAAACTTTGTTGCTATTTTCGACCACTTTTTGCTTTCAATTTGATTTAAGATCACTTTCAAGTGGTCGGAAATTCCATAATTTCCAGTAATGAATAAGGAAGTATCAAACATTGGTTTCTTAAATCTAATAATGGACAATAGAAACGTAAACAACGCCAAATATCAAGTCCAGTCGCCCAGAGAGCCTATTTAAGACCATGCATACAAGCCTTTTTTAAATTTTTACCAACAAAGCATCCACAACTGAGCTCTGGCAAAACTTACAACTGTAGGGCTAATTGTTATATATATATGATTTCATAAAACAATATAATGATGTCTGATCTCCTATTTCTTGAGGGCTTTAAGATCAGCATAGTAATTGGTTATCCAACGTTGTATTATTTCAACCTCCGTTTTTCGTTGCTCTGTTAGCCAGTCCGGATCCGTTTCGTTTTATCCTAATATGTCCAAACAATGAGACCCTACAACACCCCAAACAAAATTTTACTTTCATCAACTTACTATACATATACTTTATTCCATTATATATGAAAAATTTTTAAGATTTATGTTGGTAATGGTGCCTTTTACACTGGGCATAGCTATGTATATTGATACATGGTTATACCAAGTACAATTAGAAATCTACTATCTACTATCTACTATACTAATAAGAGCCCAAGAGAGTTAGGCCTATAATTGGTAAGAAAAATGGCGGTCAAATTTTTTAATTAAATGAATGGCTCAGATTGATCAAATTTTAATTTTTCCTTAAGATTTCCTAATTTATCCTTAATGAATATGATTATCGTTAACTTTTCCGTTAAATATTATCTTTTCCGTTAATTTCTGTTAGTTCACGGTTAACTTACTCATTGATTTCAATAAGAAAGGTTTTAAGTTCGAACCCCATCCCAATCAAAATTGGTATAATTAGTACTCTATTTTACTCTTATTAAATTAAAATAATAATTTAGTAGCTACAACAAAAACTAATACATATGCATTTCTTTAATTTAGAATTATGTGTCTACAATGTCTTTATTCAAAAAAATTTATTCATTATCAATAAATTAAATAAGAGAAATAATTTCATTAGTTATATTGTATTTATTTTTCTCCAATATAAAAATTCTTTACATTCAAATTCATCAATTGATTATATTCGCTACATTGTCCCTAGCTACAATGTCTTTATTAAAAAAAATTATTCATTATCAATAAATTAATTAAGAGAAATAATTTTATTAGTTATATTGTATTTATATTTCTCCAATATAAATATTATTTATATTAAAAGTCATCAATTGATTATATTCACTACATTGTCTATTATCTTTTTTGTGCACTATTTTTTTAATTAAATATCAAAGTTATGATACAAAATAATGCTATATATTTATTTACCAAATATTTTATTAATTCCATGAAAAAATAAAAAAATATATAATTAATAAAGTCAATCATATTAACTACTTGAGAGATTTGTTGACAAAGAGAGTATTCAAATCACACAACAAATTGAAGTAAGAACTACCTTGCAATGTCCTTGTTTGACAATCAGCAGTTAGCGGTTGGCATTAGCGGATTATATTAGCGAATTTGACCAGCGAATTATATCAACGGTTGGTAAAAAGATATTTGAAAAAATTAGCTGTTTAGATTAACATGTAAAATGACCAAAGGGTATACATATATTTAATAATAATAATAATAATAATAATAATAATAATAATAATAATAATAATAATTGTTTTAAAAAATAAAAAAATAAAATTAAGCCAATCATATTAACTACTTGAGGATTTATTGACAAAATGAGTATTCAAATCACACAACAAATTGAAGTGGAAACTATCTTGCAATGTCCTTGTTTGGTAATCAGTTAGCTCTTCAATATTAGTATATATTTAATATTTTATGCCCTAATTTTTATTTGCTCTCCCTTATGTCCCGTATTTGGTTTCAACCATACCTATACAATTATTTTATTGACAATTATAATCAATCTTGACTATATTATCTTGCATTTGTGAACTTAGAATTACCTATTTAAATACGCAAGTTTAACATTCAATTATCTATGCATGAACAATTTCAATATAATCTTGCATTGATATACTTTAAAGTACTTATTTTAAAAAAAAAACATTGGGCAGTATCTCAATCGCGCAATACGCGTAAAAGACTAGTTATTATCAATAATATTCAATATAACTTGAAAAAGTGAAAAAAAAAGTTTTCCTATAAAAATGTAGAGAAATGTTAGTTGTAGATTTAGGATGATCAATAACTCTAAATTAAAGAAAAAAGTTGGTGTAAATTTCCTAATTATTACAAATTCTAGACATTCACCAACTCAAAGCTTCATAATGCATCCAATAATATATAATAGTGCACTCACAATCTGTAAAAGTACACTTAAATCAAATACACCGTGAAGCTTTGGCAAATGCATGTTGAGAGTTGGATGCACCAGTGCCTTATGAGTCAAGTATATATATATATATATATATATATATATATATATATATATATATGACTAACATACCGTTACGGGTATAGATTGCAAGTATCGAATCTGATATGCTCTCCAAAACCCTGTCCACATACCAGAAAAAAAAAAAAAAAAAAAAAAAAAAAAAAAAAAAAAAAAAAAAAAACATATAAGATATTAAGGTTGCTAAAAAAAATTTAAACGAGTCTCATTTTAAATTACCCTCCACTGCTATATGGGTCTCTTAGTCCATTGGAGAAAATAATGTTGCTACCAAACATGCGCAGAACTAATTTAATATCCTGCAATATATATAATTTTAATATTTCATAAAACACTCTTTAGGAATAATATAAATTAAAGCTAGCTAGAGTATATATACAACATAAGATATGCAAAATACTTGTTTGAAGAACATATATATATATACTATACCTGTCCGCCGTAATAGGTTGTGATCCAGTGTGGCCGAGGTGGAACGCCGAAGCCATTAATGCAGTCCTGTGAGAATTGTTGCAGGTTGAACGGAGATGGATAGAACATGGTGTCCCCGTCGCCACGCCCAATCGGAAACACCATTTCACTACAAGTCTACACACCAAAATCTCTCATTTCTCAACCAAACTTCATATTAATGCATGTTTACTTGCCCGGCCACAAGGCGAAATCCATCACCCCGGGACCCATACTATGACCCAACAAGATTTGTAGAGATGTTAAATTACAGTGACTTAACAACTCACCAGGTGAAATGACCCGAGTTTTCTGTTCACAAAGTGTCCACCACATTAGGTGTGTGTGATTCCCATAATGCGATTATATTATTAACTCACATTCTGTCACCCAAAAATTAATTGAACTATCCCTGCGGGCAACATGTATGTTTACTTACTTGCCGTTTCCATGCCGAAATGCCAAAAATGGGAAGGGTGTAGCAAGATTGATTCCCTGTACGGCTGACGACGCCGGCCTGTATGCGGTCGAGAATATGAGCCCCTTTGGGCGCGCCATCTATGCCACTGCACACCTGCGTCACGGGATATTTCGGGGGTGCATCATACTGAGCGGCGAAAGAATACTTCAAACCCAAGTAAAACTTTAGATCCGTAGATGACTTTAAGTCCCTAAACAGGATCAAGAAAACGATAAATCCATTATCGATTTGATGTAAAAATTAAAGTATAACATATGAGTTGATCGATGTAATATTATTCGAGCATAAAATCTTTGAATCTAAGGTAAAAGCTAGCCAGAACCTACTATTGCGGGCATGACTTAATTTAGTAGGTTCAAAACATATATGACAAGTATTAATTGTTGTCAGGTTGCCATCTGGTGTCAAATGGATAGTTTAATATGAAGCTCAGTTCAGGTCTGATCCCTTTGGCCAACGGTAAATTAGGGTGCACATAGTGTTGTGTGGACTATAACAAAAAGTACATTTTTAATATATTAAAAATACATTATTCGTGTACTACATGTACATTATACAAAATAATGTACTTTCGGTACACAAATAGTGTACTTTCTCTGAATACAATGTACATTTTAAAATATATTAAAAGTATATTATTTATGTATTGAATGTACGTTATTTGATAATATGACCCACACAATTATATGGGGCGAACCTGACCCAATCTAATTGCTACAATAGGTGGATTAAGGCTAACTCATTTTATACTATCAATTGGATATTTGGATAACACTTTAATTTTTGGCTTATTGGGACGGCCCGGTCTACCCTGTTGCAATTCAATCGTTATGCCTTGGACCCGTGTCCAGCATGCTTGCTGGACACGGGTAACAGTGCCGTTAGGCACTGTTATCTTCTTCTTTTTTTTTTTTTTTTTTTTTTTCAGATCACTTTGTTATAGAAGTATATGTTCATAATTTTATTACTATATGTTAATAACTATACATTCATAACTCCATAACTGTACGTTCATAACTCTATAACTGTACATTCATAACTCTATAATTGTACATTCATAACGTCATAACTGTACATTCATAACTCCATAATTGTACATTCATATTTTCGAAGCTCTATGTTCACAATTTTAGAGCTCTATGTTCATAATTTTATCACTATATGTTCATAATTGTAAGTTAATAATGTTAGAGCTCTTTGTTCATAATTCGATCAATAACTGTACATTCATAATTCCATAACTGTAGATTCATAATCTCATAACTGTAGATTCATAACTCCATAACTGTAGATTCATAACTCTATAACTGTACATTCATAATCTTCGAAGCTCTATATTCACAATTTTAAAGCTCCATGGTCATAATTTTATCACTATATATGTTCATAATTGTAAGTTCATAATGTTAGAGCTCTGTGTTCATAATTTCATAATTGCATAACTGTACATTCATAACGGCATAACTGTACATTCATAATCAAAAAAAAAATATCGCCGTTAACGGCAAAACGCGCGCAATTTTTTTTTTTTAACTAAATGACGCGTTTTTTTTTAAAAACGATGTCGTTTTGGGCCCGTGTCCACAATTCATTCTGGACACGGGTCCAGGGCATAATTTGCCGTTGCAATTGTTATACAGTGGACCAATTGTGTGGACCATGATTTAAAAAGGTACCGAAATGACGATCGCTATATTTTTAAAAAATTCTGTATTTATGATGTGCTCAAAATAAAATGAAATTATAGTGTATCTAAAATGAAACTGGATAATATATCTCACATATTGAATATATATTATCAAATGAAACTGTAGTTGAATCGGAATGATACTTTAGTTGTATTGTGCTGAAATAAAATTACAGTATGTATAAAAATGAAACCGAATAACATGTCGCACATATTGAGTGTATAATGTCAAATGAAATTGTAATTGAATTAAAATGATACTTTAGTTGTGTTGAAATGAAACTACGGTATATATAAAATGAAACTGAATAAAATATCTCACATGTTGAGTGTATATTATCAAATGAAACTGTAGTTATATCAAAATGATAATTTAGTTGTATTGTAATAAAACTACAGCATATATAAAATGAAACTGAATAACAATTTCACATATTTGAGTTTATATTATCCAATGAAATCGTAGTTGAATTAAAATTATACTTTAGTTGTGTTGTAATAAGATTGCGGTGTGTATAAAATGAAATTCAGTAACAAGTATCACATATTGAGTGTATAGTGTCAAATGAAACCTTAGTTGAAACAAAATTATACTTAATTGTGACGAAATAAAACAACAATGTATATAAAATGAAACTAAATACGGCATACAAACATAAGTAATTAGACGAAAAGGGTGTCGTTTCTTTTAAATAAAAGAAATCCATCACCTTGTTGACCCATTCATTAAAAAAAAGATATATATATATATATATATATATATATATATATATATATATATATGTATGTAGAGAATTACATTCATGTAAAAACATGCTTAAAATACAAACGTGTGGACATTTCTGGATCATTAGATTTTGAATATCTAAGGTTGTGATTAGTTTTTATGATTTTGTGTGATCTCCGTCTGTGTGCACTGTCGTTCATGGACGTGTGCACACTGACCCAAATACTGTGTATTCACAGATACATACTATATTGGATGTGTGCGCACCCGCATTTAGATGTGTGCGCACCCGCATTTAGATGTGTGCGCACCCGCATTTAGATGTGTGCACAGTATATGTCCACATGTTTATATAGGGAAGGGTTTAGGTGCGGTTGATGCTTCCTGTGCGGTTGAGCAGTTGGACGCTCCTTAAGCATTAACATGGCGCACCTTAAGTACACAAATCACCACGCACCTTAAGTCCACAAACAAAGCACCTTAAGAACACAAATCACTCACCTTAAGTACAAAAACCACGCACATTAAGCACAGAACAAAGCACATTGAGCACAAAACTCACACACTTAAGATTTTAAAATGTCTCACATTAAGCACAAACTCACGCACATTAAGTACAAAACCCACGCACATTAAGCACAAACCTCACGCACATTAAGCATTAAACTGACGCACAGTAAGTATTAACTCACAGACTTTAAGTTTCAACAACTACTAACATTAATCACTAACCCCACGCACTGTAAGCACAAACTTCACTCACCTTAAGAACAAATTTCACGCACCTTAAGCACAAAAGCCCACACTTTAAGTTTTAACAATTATTCACATTAATCACAAACTCACGCACATTAAGCACAAAACTCACGCACATTACGCACAAGACTCACGCACCTTATATACAAAACTCACGTACATTAATCACAAAATCACTCACCTTAATTTTGATCTAGATGAAAAAGTTACAAAATTGCCACCGCGTTTTTTTTTTTTTTTGGTAATCTTGAACGTTGATTAAAGCGAGATGAATGGCTCAGATTAAACCGCACCTGAAGCGCTCACTCGCACGAGAACCAATTTATATATATATATATATAGGGTAGTTTTCTGGTGCAACCCAATGTTAGTATGTGAACTTGTGAAGTAATGTGGTGCATTGATTTTGTGCAATCTAATGCACCAAACCAAAACATATTCCCCTAGTGGTGGTCCGGCATGTAGAGTGTCACTAGGGTATTCCTGGTAATTCACATTTGTTATTGATGGGTTTGAATTTCACTCTATATTAATTAGTAGGAAAAAGTGTCAAATTGACCCCCTAAGTCAAGTGGATAGTGCAATTGGGTCCCCAAAGTGAAAAAAGTTTCATTCAAGTCCCTTAAACCTGTAAAATTGTTCAATTAAGTCCAATATAACTTGTTTAACAGGTTAAATCGATATGGTGTTGACACGTGTCTTTCTTATTTTATTTTTAAAAATAAATACTTTTTATTTATTAAAAATATTATTTTTTTTATTAATTAATTTAAAAAATAATAATATTTTAAAAATTAAAAAAAAAAAAAAAAAAAAAAAACAGCCACCGGCTGTTCGCGCTGGACAGCTGGTGGTTGTCTTCTTTCTTCACGGCCAGACGTTCATGGCCGCCTTCCTTAGATGATCGTGAAGAAGGAGGATAGCCACTAGTTGTCCAGTGCAGACAGCCGGTGGCTGTTTTTTTTTTTTTTTTTTTTTTTTTTTTTTTTTTAATTTTTTTAAATTTGTAATTATTATTATTATTTTAATTAATTAATTTATAATAAATAATATTTTTAATTTTTAATAAATAAAAAACATTTATTTTAAAAAATAAAATAAGAAGGACACGTGTCAACACCATATCGATTTAACCTGATAAACAAGTCATATTGGACTTAATTGAACAATTTTACCGGTTTAGGGGACTTAAATGGAGCTTTTTTCACTTAGGGGACCCAATTGCACTATCAACTTAACTTAGGGGGCCAATTTGACACTTTTCCCTAATTAGTAATTACTACCTTAACAAGCTCGAGCTCGAGCCAACCCAGGCTCGAACTCGGCTTGACTCGTTTACACTCCTATAGCGGATCAATTTAAATCCATTAATTTGATACTTCTAGATATAATGCATGATGATTGTGAGTTTCTCTCGTCATCTAACAAAAAATTCATACTTACTGGCAAAGCTTGAACTTGCGACTGAGAATGGAGAGGCCGTTTGGCTGGGAGGCAATTTTGTCAATAATGGACCATGATTTTCTTATAGTTTGATAGCAACTCTCACTAACTTCCTGCAACCAATATTAAGAAACTCAAGCAAATTAAATATCTTACATTTTTTCTATATAATTGATTGACACCTATATGAATAGTACTTATCGGTTGGAGAAATCTCATAGTATACTTACTCTAAAATCTTTAGTCACTATGGAAAAGTATCCATTTTGTGTTGTGATATTGTCAAAGTAGAGAATGGGAGCTGATGAAGCTAAGGCACCCAATGCAATGTGTGGATATTTCAACCGAAACCACGAAGCAAGCACTTCACAATATAATACAAATTTCAATCCCAAAATTAAAAAGATTTGAACTCTAGAAAATAAAGATAGAAAAATATAATCTCAGCTCGTACGTACTTCCTCCATATGATCCTCCAACAACAATGATGGGAGAATCTTGAGCGGAGTATTTCTTCTTTATATATAGCAGCACCTCTGCATAATCAGCCAAAGCTTGAGCGGAGTTAAAATAGCCACGAGCTGTCTCGTTTCTCAGAACTTCTTCCATGGTTCCAAACGGAATTGATTCCCCGTAATACCTATGCTGCATGATTACCAGATAAAATATGAATTTCAGAATTTGCCCACAGTTTAACTAACTATCAGTTCAAACAACTTTTAACTATCATCGTATAGTATTACCTCTATGTAGACAAGAAGAGCCTTAAAACGAGGGGCATTGTCAGTGAGAAATCCGATGGCTATGGGATCATAGTCGATCGGAGTTTCGGCGCCGAGCCATGCGAAGATAGGGGAGTTGGATTGGGCGCCACCCCAGAACTTGGAATTCACTATGTATCTCTGTTTGAAGGTGGCATAGCTTTGAGGTCTGTAATTGAAGTGATCCAACGTTTGGTTGTAATAATAGGTTCTGAATTCATGAGGAAGAATATTGTCAGAGGTAGCAGAAGAAGACTGAGGTTGTCGTCGTAGGATAGAGCGGTGGAGCGGAGTGAGGCGAGGAATTTGGTGTGGGGTTTCAGAAAGGGAAGTTGTTGAGAAGAGAATAAGAAGAAGAGATAACCATTGAATTACAAGTGTTAAGAACTCCATGGCAAGGAAATGAAGACTGAAATGGCCAGAGGTTCCACCTAATGTTAAATATTTACATTAAAATATTTAATTTAATTTCTATAAAATTAAAGCCTTCAAAAGCCGGCCCAATCCTTCTTCTCCCATAGAAATTTACGTACGTTAGTTCCTTGTTTTCATTGGTGTATAAGTTATCAAATCATATATACTACAAATTAATCAAACAAAAGAATGTTAGAGCAAGTCATAGGGCGCGCGGCATCGACCATGACAATGCTATTGTTAATTAATTTTTTTTTTTTTTTTTTTGTTTTTTTTTTGCGCAATGAAGCTTACCATATAATGGTCTTCGGACTCTCTTGACGAGTTGGGGACGGGTGGTCTCGAGTTTACGTTTGCTTTCTTTTATTACTTGTAGGTTTTCATATTTGATCATTTGGGAGTTATGCATAGAAGCATATTAACGAGTGCATGCGTGGTCGGGGGTCACTTAGCATCCCTAGGGTACGATGATCTTTAGCATGGCTAGATCGGTGTCCGAGTGCGTCTTTCGCCCATGGCCAAGGAAGCACATCTTGCTCTCGAGTTGGCCCCTCATTCTTGCTTACTTGGATAGTCATCAGGTACCGAGATGTGTACGTGGTTAGATGATTTGATGGTCGCTACCTTTGATTGAATATCTAAAGGTAAATCTTTCTATCTCTGTTTCCAAGGGCGGCTGGAGGGGGGCAGGGTTGTTACCTTGGTGCATAACCAAGGTGTGGCTATTGTTATGGGGTTGACTGCTCAGGGTTTGTGGATGGAATTCAGAGTCTTTTTCGAGTTCTTTTCGCATGCCTTTTAGTGGTTTCTGTTTGGGGGTATTAGGTTTATCCTTGTGGAGACTTCAATGTTGGAGTTCACGGATTATTTTAACTCTTTCTCTTGCGCTGCTTGGTATTTGGATAGTGAGGTATTGCATCTTAGGTTTCTTGAATCTTATGCCTCTAGCCTCTTTGACTAGTTTGGTTTGTTCATCACCTAAGGTTAATCTGCCTTGTTTTGCTTCAGTTGAGTGGATGTCTAGGAGGGATGAGGATTTTTTTTTTTTTTTTTTTTGCACCTTGTTTGACTTACCTCGTGTGCATTCTTTGGTCTCATTGGATGGCATGCCTTCCCTTGGGTGTGATGATGTTGATGCTTAGTTGTTTTTTCACGCTTTGCCAACTTCTTTCTTTGTTTATATCTCTACTTGTGGTTGCGATTCATCGGTACATTGTTGGCCCCTTACAAAAAGGGGTGATGACAGTCAAAACTATCCTACAACTATTGGAAGTTTGCAACAACATAGGGCGGTTGTTCTGGTGGATGATAAAAACGGTAATTTCAGTTCCTACTGGCCACTGCTCAAAGTTGTGATGATGGTCCAGACTATCCCGCTCTCACTAGTCACTAGTAGTTATTTGGTGCTTTACTGGTCACTTGCTTAAAGTGGTGATGGTGGTTCAAACTACCATGTCGGTGCCTACAGTTATTTGGTGCTTTGTTTGCCACTTGCTCAAAGTGGTGATGGTGGTTCAAATGACCTTGCAGCTATAGGTGGTTTGCAATAGCTTAGTCCGGCTATGCTAGTGGTTAGTAAATACCATAATTTCTGCACCCATTATTGGCCACTTGCTTAAAGTGGTGATGGTGGTTCAGACTATCTCATTGGTGCAACGCTGGCCATTTACTCAAAGTGGGGATGGTGGTTCTGGATACCTTGCAACTATTAATTAACAGTTTACAATAGTCTAGTCCGACTATGCGGGTGGTCGGTAAAGACCATACGTGTGACACCCCGTAAATCCAAAATCTATTTAACGATTAATTAGGTAATTAATCATAGCTTAATTGGTAATTTATTCCTAAAATCCTGAAAATTCAATAGCCGGAGGACTAGAAATTGACTAGTCAATCCAAGTCAAAGAGTTGTACTCTATGCTTTATGAAATGGAGGTCCACCCGTGGCCCCACCCGCGGGGTACAACTTTGGTGTTGGTCGGGGATCTGTTCCCCGTGATTCTTTTGACTCGGTAATTGATGTTTTGATCTCCCGATGTTGTTTTATTGGGCTATTTGAGTGTCTTCTTGATGTTTTGTATGTCTAGAACGGTATGTTAGGAATCCATGTAGGATTTGGTGTCTTGAATCGTGCTAAGTGTTCAACTTTGTGACTCGTTGAACCATGATGAGTCTTGTATGTTCTACGGAACTATGTTTGGTTTACCCATTTGATAAGCATGCTAGTTTGATGTTGAAATGCTAGTGTGTGTGGTTTTTTCTTTCCTTTTGAGGATGGCAACTTGTGTTGACCGTCGTTGGAGTCGGATTGTAATCCTTCCTTGTTGAGTATAGTTTCATATCTTTGTTGTGATCCATTGATTGATTCCTGTGATGAAAATGTGTGTATTGGTTGTACCTTGATTGCACGGTTAATGGTATGGGACATTAATCACCAAGGTACATATGTGGTCCTCGTGGTGGCCATGAAATGAAATTGGTGGTGTAATCTGAGCATAGGCTCACTTGTCGGAGATTGTGAATGAAATGAACGGTACCCTCGTGTACTATGTATTGGTGGAAATGTTGGAGATTGTTGGAGTGGGGACGACGGTCCTCGGAGGCATAAGGTTGGACTTTGGAGTACAGGGGTCCTGGAGGTAATGGTTGGAACTGTAATAAGGGCGGGGTAGCCATAAGGTTGGAACATGGCATAAGGTTGGAAGTTGTGACATGAAGTGTCACTGTGGCATGTAGTTGCCAATGATTGAATGTCTATTCTTTGTTAATGAGCATGTCGAGTGGTATTCTACTTTGTGATCAGTAGAATACGCCTCGAGTTGTATTTGGTTATTATTGTTGTCCTTGTCTTGTCGTTGTCTTGGGATGTTGATTTCCCTTGTTCCTTTGAGAGTGAAATAGAGTCTTTGTAGTTGATCTCTCTCTATGATGTTTGAACAAATATATATACTGTATTCCGTTTCAAAAATGGTTTTGGTTTATACTATCTATATATGCTATTTAACGCGTATTGATGGGTTACCAGCAATATTCGCTGACTAGGCGTCGTCCCCCTTTCTTGATGTTGCTTTACAGGTCCTGAGTAACTTATGGCGAGTGCGCTAGCTGTTGGTTGTAGTGTAGCTCCCTTAGACTTTGTAGATAGTGTTTTGGGCCTGTATGCCGTGGTTATGTTGAACAAGATAGTATGTTGGTTTTAGACTTGCCTGTGCATCCACATTGAGGTGGATGTGGCATAGCACTTCCTGTTTTCACATTTTTAATTAAAGTCTTCCGCTGTCGTTTACGTTTTATGATACCTGTTAGTTTCCTTGCCTTATGTATCTAAGTTTTTAAAATGTCGTGAAAATCGCGGGTGTTACAATACGTCCATACCTCTTGCTCAAAGTGGTAATGGCAATAAAGATCATCATGTTCGTGCTAACCATTACTTGGTGCACTACTGAACACTGGCTCATAGTGGTATTGATGGTATAGACCATTGTTCTTCTTCATATCTTTGGTTTTGTTCTGTGTGCCATTGTGTTTGCTTTAGGCATGTGTGCCACTATATTTTCTTTAGGCATGTGTGCCATTGTATTTACTTTAGGCATGTGTGACATTGTTTATACTTTGGGCATGTGTGACATTGTTTATACTTTGGGCATGTGTGCCATTGCTTCTACTTTAGGCATGTGTGCCATTGTTTCTACTTTAGGATTGTGCGTCACTCCTTCGATTTTAGTTTGCGGGACGTGTGTGCCTCCTTACAACTTGCTTGGCCTTTGGGTTGCTTCTTTCATTCTGGCATACTCCAAGAGATGTCGGTATGCTATTGAGTTTTTTATGGGATTGGGCCTTCTTAGTTGCTGGCTATTTTGTGGTTGCGGCTTGGCAAGGCCTTTTTTTTTCTTAATAAACACAATGCCGGTAATTTGTTACCCTTTTTAGGTTAAGCACGCTTTGTTCTTTTTAAAGTTTATAGTTTGGTTGGAAGAAAGTAAGTGTAGAATATAAGGAGATTGAGAGATATTTTTATAGTGGTTCGGCCAAAACCTAACTTGCTCCGTTCTTCTCCTAAAACTTCTAGGAGGGTTGCACTATGACACTTAGTACTATAAAAGAGCTCTTGAGCCTGGAGCACAAAGTCAACCTCAAGTCTCAAGTTTTTCACAATATAACACTTCTTGTTACTCCGTCTCTTTCTACTATCCAGTAGAAATTGTTGGTTGAACTAAAAATTGTTCACTTCATTCTCCAACTAGTTGACTTGGCTTGGGATGCTTCTTGCTATTCGCCAAAGTCTGAGTTTGGATGTTGCTTTTTAGCTTGATTTCTCTCTCACTGGTCACTTAGATTGCTTTGAAAGCTTGCACAAATTGCACTTGTATATTCGTGTTTTCAGAAGATCAGAACATCATTTGATTTGAATGGAGGTATTTAATTAACTATTTATAGACACATTTGAATTCGTCCGTTGGAGGAAAACAAATTCAAACGTCTATTACCTAGCGTGTATTAACTAATGCATTCTCGAAAAAACTAATGCATTCTCGAAAAAGATGCAAAAACCTATGACTGATTTTCGAGACTCAGGACGTGATGCCTAGTCAGAGTCAGTGAGCCCCCTAAATCTAACGGCTAGAGTCCGTAGGGAATAATAAAGCTTAACAACTAGGAGAAGCCTTGATATACCTCACAACGCGATGAGCAGCCTACATATGCAACTTTTTAGGACAATCCAAGAATTGAGATAATTGTTGAGTGACAAAAATAAAGTAAAACTAAGAAAATCGGCCACATGAATCACAACATCCACAACTGAATTTATATGATAAGAAGTACGAAAGGATACACTTTTATTACATGGAATTGTAAGATTTTCTCTTATAATATATATTGATATTAGGGCCTTAATTAAGTGGTGCAAGTTGACTAGGCTTATTAAGTGGTGTGGTTGGACTTAATAACTAGTAGTTGTTAGTCAACCAAACTCTGTGCCTAATATAATCCTGTATTGATGGGATACAGGATGGTTGTTGTTAGCACATTCAGTTACGGTACTCAGACCGCTCAGTAGATACCAATACACCATCTAGGGTTCTGAGTCAGGTCTGAGGCAAAACATGGCTGACGGTCTACCGTTAAGAGGCAACACAACAGGAACATCAACTATGGCTGGAGATCAACACGGCTACGCTTCCGCTATCATACGAGGTTAGGTTTCTCGTATACTATGGTACATATAGTTAGACTATTGTATATCTAACATTTGGTATCAGAGCCTTTATAATCTCTGCCTGGTTGATTGTATTGCCTAAAATCAACATTAAGTTTCATATACATTGAGTTTTCGTATATGTTGTAATTCTTTAAAATACATACGTTAAAATATATCTATTCTGTCAGTGGATATAATTTTGTAATTTTACGTGTGTTTGAATTAATCTGGAAATTAGCCTGCTGTTATTTTCCCTTCCTTCGAATCGGATTTATTATCTGGATTCGGTCTCGGATTTGTTGTTTTTTCGGCGACTACCATTGAGCGATACAGAAACGATGGCTACAGTTTTTTTTTTTAAAAAAAAAAATCATCGTTTTCTTTCTCTCTATGGCATCGACGGTGTGGCGCTGGCGTTGAGACGAGGAGAAACGGCGGTGGTGAGGCTGGTCCCTCTCTTCAGGCTACATCGTGACGCATTCTCCTCTCCATAACGCTGTCGGTGGTGGCGCTAGTCTTGCCGGCGATGCATTGGAAGAAGGACGAATGGCCTGGCTGTCGGTGATGCTTAGAAGAAGACAGAAGACGCCGTACATATTGATACATTTCCTTATAAAATGCAATTACTTATATTATTTTACCATATTAGGATTAGGATTTGCCTAGTTTAATATTTTATATATTAATTTTGGTATGGTAATATATTAGGTTTAATATTATCATATTAATTTGACCTTAATTAATATTGTATATTATTTTTGGAAAATGGTAAATATATAGTAATTGCTTAATTTGGAATTTTAATGCCCTTTAGTTTCCATTTAATTTTGACATTAAATTCATAATTAAATTATCATTCAATTTGGAGCAATATTAAGTTTATAGGGTTTGTTCATTAAGGACCTAAGTTGGAGAATTAAAATGCATGTGACCATAATAGATACTACTCTGATTAAATAGAGGACATATCACTATGATTCGTGTGTTTTGTTCTTTGATGATGGTTGTGCTGGAACTTGCACCAAGTGGGAGAATGTAAGATTTTCCCTTATAATATATATTGATATTATATATTAGGGCCTTAATTAAGTGGTGCAAGTTGACTAGGCTTATTAAGTGGTGTGGTTGGACTTAATAACTAGTAGTTGTTAGTCAACCAAACTCTGTGCCTAATATAATCCTGTATTGATGGGATACAGGATGGTTGTTGTTAGCACATTCAGTTACGGTACTCAGACCGCTCAGTAGATACCAATACACCATCTAGGGTTCTGAGTCAGGTCTGAGGCAAAACATGGCTGACGGTCTACCGTTAAGAGGCAACACAACAGGAACATCAACTATGGCGGGAGATCAACACGGCTACGCTTCCGCTATCATACAAGGTTAGGTTTCTCGTATACTATGGTACATATAGTTAGACTATTGTATATCTAACAGGAATTTCTACAGTGCCACATATGAAACCTTAGAAAATTCCTTATTTTATTATTTGTTTATAACTGTAGCATTAAGTGCTATGCATAGTTCCTTAAAACAACATTGTCTACTTCTATTTCTTGAAGGCTTGAAGATCAGCATAGTACTTGGTTATCCAATCTTGTATTATCTTAACCTCCGTTTCCCGTTGCTCGGTTAACCAACTTGGAGCTGAAGAATAACTCCCATATAAGTCCAAAACGTGAGCGCCTACAACACTCCAAACAAAATTATACTTTCATCAGCACCGTAAAGCTTTCCAAATGCACCCTCAAATATTTTGAATTTCACAATTGTAAATACATAAATGCTACAAAAAAATTTTTCTTGATTTTTAGTCATTCAACATCTTAAATACAAATATTACAAATTTGAAAAGTTTACAATAATTATAAAATTCACCCCACCTTTTTTTAATCAAATAGACGGTTGCGATCAATCCTTACTTTTTTGAAGAGTAGTTATTCTTATTTGAACTCACCCTTGTCTGTGATATATATATATATATATATATATATATATATATATATATATATATATCAAAATAGTGGCCATTTGACTAGAGTATTGTGGGGACAAGAATTTGACAATTTAATATTCGGTACAACTAAAAGAACATATATGCATAGTTTTATTCGGTGCAAAAAAACACTAATATCAATCCACACTATGTGTGTGTTGATCAACATACCATATTGAGTATAAACTGCAACTAGAGTATCTGATATGTTCTTCAAAACCCTATCAATACACAAACAAAAAAACAAAATGAATGACATAAGATATGAAGGTTGGTACATTTTGTTTAATAAAGAAAAAAGGAGTAGACATTTTAAGTTACCCTCCAATGCTATATGGGTCTCTTAGTCCGTTGGAGAAAATGATGTTGCTACCAAAGTCTTTTAGAACTAAGTTAAAATCCTGCAATTTTAAGTTGACATGTAATAATATAAGAGAAGTGCAAGTTTTTAAAGTGTTTTTTGGGGCAACCTCAGCCAAGCTTGTTAGGCTATTGACAAGGTTTCAAGTTTAATTCCTAACTGGAGCGCCTGTTGACCTTCTTGGTTTGAACCGGTCAGGCAATCTAGACTAGTTTACCTTGGGCTCTTTCACTCGTTAAAGTTACAAGGCGAGTCTTGTTACCCAAAAATAAAAATTTAAAAAAAAAAGTGTTTTTTTTTTTTTTTTGGGGGGGGGGGGGGGGGAGGGGATTGTAGAACATACATGTCCTCCGTAATAGGTTGTGACCCAGTGTGGTCGAGGTGGAACACCGTAGGTATTAATGCAGTTCTGGGAAAAACTTTGCAGGTTGAAAGTAGTTGGAATGAACATGGAGTCGTTGCCTTGCTGAATCGGGTACACTATTTCACTACAAGCCTACACACCAAAATCCTTAATTAATTTCTCATTACATAATAATAAGAGAAAATCATTATTTTGGTCTTCAATTGTTTTGTAATTGTTAATTTAATCTTTAATTTTTAATTTTGTCGAATTAACCCTCTAATTATTTTAAAATTTATCAATTAAGTCCTCTAGCCACTATTTCATCAGCCTATCGTTAATTACCAAAGCAGTGGCTAAAATATTTAATTAACGAAATTTAAAACAATTAAAAAATCAACTAATTAAATTAAAAATTAGGGACTAAATTGACAATTGCAAAACAATTAAGGAAGCTAAACAATAATTTTCCCTAATAAATTATTATAATCTTCCAGATATTATTGCATTGTTTACTTACTTGCCAAGCATATGCATCCACTGTATCACCCCCTCCGGAAACTATGTAGCAAGAATAAACCCCTTCGTAGGCGACGACGCCGGCCTGTATCCGGTCAAGAATATCAGACCCTTCCGGCGCGCCATCTATGCCGCCGCACACCCTCCTCACTGGATATTCCGGCGGATTGTCATATTGAGCGGCATCACTATACAGCCTGTGCAAGTAATTGCGTAGCTCCGTCGGCGAGGTCAAGTTCCTATTCATCAACGCACGTAGTACACGATGAAATTAAAGCTTTGAAGAAAGGGTACGGTGAAATTCAAGTACAAATATATTAATATTTACTTGCAAAGGTTGAACTTGCGACTGAGATTGTAGAGGCCGTTTGTCTGGTTAGCATATTCGTAAATTTTGGACCATGATTCTTTTATAGTTTCAACACAACTCTCACTCACATCCTGCAACCAACATTCAGAAAGTTGAAGCTTTCATATATACATATATAAACATTCTAGTCACTTGACACATTCATATATATGTATTACTTGGTATACACTATATAATTTTAGAAGTAATTTAAGTTGGAGATGAATATATAAGACTTATTTTATAAAATGTATTTTAATTTTTAGTCTTTTTTATAAGTTGTAAACTGAGTAAGGGATTCCCCGTCTCTGGACAATCCCCGTGGGAATAGGAATGAGTAGATTTTTCTCTTCCCCGGCGGGGAGGGAATGGAGGAGAAAGTTGAGGGTGGGGACTGCTAGGGATGTCAATCGGACTAGCTTGAAATCTCTAAGCCTTCTTGTGATCTCGTGCACATCCTTGATAGTGGTTGTGAATTTTTTTCTATCACTTAAAACAAAATATGACATCTTACCCTAAAATCTTTAGTTACTATGTCATAGTATCCATTTTGTGGTGTGATGTCATCAAAGTAGAGAAGGGGAGCTGATGAAGCTAAGGCACCCATTGCTATGTGTGGATACTTCAACCGAAACCACGCAGCAAGCACTTCACAAAATAACACAAAATTCAAGCTTTATTTCCTGTCAAAACCCAAAACTATCTCTAGAAAAAAAGAAAGAACTGAAAAAACAATAATCTCTTACTTCCTCCATATGATGCTCCAACAACAATGATGGGAGAACCCTGAGCTCCATAGGCATTCTTTATATATAACAGCACCTCTGCATAATCAGCCAAAGCCTGAGCCGAGTTGAAATAGCCACGAAGTGTCTCATTGTTCAAAGCTTCTGCCTGGGTTCCGAATGGCACTGATTCCCCGTAGAACCTATGCTGCATATATGATCATCACAACATTTGAGGGCATGCATGCATAATATAGAATAATCTAATTACTTATAAACCTGATCGATAGGATCATCATATCATATCAAATGATCACCTCTATGTAGACAAGAAGAGCATTAAAACGAGGGGCATTATGAGTGAGAAATACGGCGCCCAAGGGATCACGGTCGACCGGAGATTCAAGACCGAGCCATGCGAAGATGGGAGCGTTGTTTTGGGCGCCGCCCCAGTACTTGGAATTCACTATGTATCTCTGTGAGAAGGTGGCATAGCTTTGAGGTGCGTAATTGAAGTGATCCAACGTTTGGTTGTAGTAATAGGTTTCGAACTCAGGCGGAAGAGCAGCAGCGCTGTCGGAAACGGACGAAGACTGTCGTGGCCAGTGGAAGGAAGTGAAGGGAGGAATATTATTGAGGTGTGGGGTTAGGGAAAGGGAAGTTGTGGAGAAGAGAATAAGGGGAGAGAGGCATTGAATTACAAGTCTTATTAAGAACTCCATTGTATATAATGTAATTGAAAACTAATGAGATGCCCACTCCCTATGTATGGCTTTATATAGTTATTATAGGACTATATGTACGAGGTTCCATAGGACAAATTAATCAAACAAAAGTATGGCATGCATCGTGTGTCTTGGGGCACTAAACCGTGGCCATACTAGATAGTGTTAATTAGCAAAATAATTTTAAGTCCTATTATTACCCATTCAAGTTACGGTTGATGTGACGCTAACTAAGCTAACACGTGGCTTAATTATGTGAAACTTGTGTGTACAATTATTTTATATTTTTATTTTAACTTACTAGACATCCATGACAGTCTAATTTGACGAAAGCGACCATTAATTACCTTCGTTGCTTAGAGGGAGAAGGTGGCCAGTTGTCTTTGTTTCTTTGAGATGAAGGTGACCATGACGACCACCTTCATCAAATATAGGCCCCATTATGAGTAGGTCTAGATCAGGACAACCATGGACGATATGATGTCTAACATAGCCATGGTTGTCCAATCTGTTTGCAAACAACTGCACTGGATGTTGTCAATAAAAATAGCCATTATTCATCTAGTCGACGGCGGATCGATATTCTTAAAAAAGTTTTAAAAAAATTAAAATAAAAATTAAAAATGTTGTAAAATTCCTACGAAATTAATCGTCCAAATGTTAATTATGTAGCACATTTATTCTGTAACTTTGTATTGGCACATGTTGACTAAATATGGGAATTTCTCTCACCTGACTTGTAAAGTGATAATGGTGTGTGCGTGTGAAATTGCAGTTGTTATATCATCGACTAGGTCAACTCGGGTCCTAAATTGTGTATTTTTAGTATTCGAATTTATTTAATTCTAAAATATAAATTGTGTTAATTCAGGACGGATCATTACAAATTGTAAATTTTTAAAAGGTAAATTGTGTATCTTTGGATTCGAGTACACTTTGCAGAGTCCACAGAATAATTTGCAGTAAATTAAAATTGGGGGATGAGTCAAACTAACGTTATGCATGGGTACATGACATTACACCGTGTGCAATTGCAAGCCTAAAGTGGAAGTGTGCAATTGTGGTTCTAAACAAGCGTCACAAGTGGGTTAAGAAGAAAATTCCTAAAAATTTTGATGCAATAAGGCTTGTCAATAACTGATGGAATTAATTGACCCGGGTAGACCCGAATCAATGAATCCGGATAAGAATGTGTACGAAATAAATAATATAACGCAGAGATGTCGTAAGGTCGCCGAGACCGTAGGTCGCATGGACCGTATATTGTATTAATTATCGCTAATAAGCTATTACAAGCTTGATTAGGACAATAATGCTAGAAGATAGTAGTTCAAGAATATGTTGTGTTGTGTTGTGTCGTGTCCTTGTTTAGGACAAGAGGGAGGCTTTTTATATCAGCTCAAACCCCCCAACCGCACCCCTAGGACCGGGGGTAGTTGGATCGGCCCGCCTTGACCGCGTCCCCCCCGGAACCGAGTCCAAGGCGGGCCGACTCGGCATGGCCGAGCTGGGCACATGTCGAGCTCGGCCTAGCCGAGTCCACCATGGACCGGCTCGGCAGTAGTCGAGTCCATGGTGACGGGCTCGGGTATACCGAGCTCGCCCGTGGCCAGGCTCGGCCCAAGGCTGAGATGCTTTGGGCCAACTCGGCCACGGCCCAAGGGACTAGACCGAGGCTTCTCGGGTCCGTCTCTCTGGGTCGGTTCGCTTCGGGTCCAATATATCCATCAATAACTAATCCACAATCATAGACTATCTAAAGACAAAAGCAATAGAACATTGAATCATACATGTGCACAACATATTCATCCAATTTTTTGTTGTTGTTTTTTTTTTTTTTCTTTTCTTCGTCTCTCAACTCTTTTATTCGAAAAAACTTTGCCAACACTTTCGAAAAGGTCAAAGTGCTCGCCTGTTACGTTTTTCTTGTTCGTCGAACTTATCATCTGAGGTGCTTCGAATTACAAGCTGTAATCCGTTTTATCCTAGGAGACTGACGCTAAAACGCTCCTAGCACCCTCGGGAGGTAGTTAATTGGTTTTAAGGAAAGTATGTGTTACACACGACTCGAATTTCTTCCCCTCCTCGTTTTGTTATTGGTTGGGATTATTTTCGAAAGATTATAAATCACTTTGGTTGGGTTTATATTTCAAAATTATAAAACCCTTATTTTTCATATTTATTTATTTTATATAAATAAATATTTGGCATCGTATCAAGCTCTAGTTAGAATTTTATTTTTGTTTTGGTAAATCGACTTATCACCACCTACATAAGGCACGTGGCACTCTCTCAATGGCCCCCCAGGTCGGTTGCACCATTTTTTTTTTCTTTGATAAAGATGGTGGGACAAGCGATATGACATGTGGGCTGCTGTGACAGGTGCCTATTGCAGCTCCGTAAATGATCGGTAGCGCTTGGTGAAACCCGGGCTCCTCTTATCTGTTTAGATTCGACCGGGCATGATTCAGTCGTGGTAGGGTTTCGGTCAGATATGATCCAGGAGTACTCCCACCATTTATGTTAGTGGTTCACCTTACAAGGTGAACTATGAACAATGATATAATGATTCATATCACATGGAAGGTGGCTTCAAGCGTTATATCGTGGACCAGGATCCACAGTGTACTCTGGACCCTGGTCCAACACACAGAATTCATGTTTATAATACACAGAATTCATGTTCCTAATACACATACACATAAACACGATATAATGAACATGAATTTTGTGTATTATGAACATGAATTTTGTGCATTATGAACATGAATTCTGTGTATTATATAGCCGAGGATACATAAACACTTAATATAATTCACAGAATTCATGTTCATAATGCACATAATTTATGTTCATTATATTGTGTTTATGTGTATGTGTATTATAAACATGAATTATGTGCATTATAAACATGAATTCTATATCTTAAGAAGTCAAATTCTGTGTATTAGACCAGAGTCCATAGAGCAATGTGAACCCTGGTCCACGATATAAATTGCCAGGTGGCTTGACATAACCTATATATGGGATCTTGCCATACTGGCCCATGTACAATAGCATTCGTTATGCTGTGGAACTTTATCCACCTTGTAAGGTGGACACGGTTCTATGTTCATAATTATTGAACTATATGTTCATAATTATAAAGCTATATATTCATAATTTTTGAACTTCATATTCATAATTATTGAATTCTATATTCACAATTACAGAATTATATGTTCATAATTACTGAAATACATGTTCATAATTATAAAGCTATATATTCATATTTTTTAAACTTTATATTCACAATTATTGAATCTCTATATTCATAATTGTTCATAATTATGTTCACAAGTCTATGTTCATAATTATAGAACTATATATTCATAATTTTTTAAATATATATTATAATTATGAACAATTTTGGAACCGTGTCCACTTTGGACACAGTTCCACTGGGTACAATAGCATGTGAGTCGTGCTTGGAGTGTTATGTTGTGCAACCGTGTGCGTTGCAGAAAACGTCCAACTTAAAAAAACAAAAAAATCAGTTTCGATTACCGTTAACGGCGTTATGTTGTGCATAATTTGGACTATACATCCATAGCTTCATAACTATACATTCAGAATTGCATAAGTACACATCCATTAACTTCATACCTATACATTCAGAATTGCATAACTACACATACATAACTTCATAACTATACATTCAGAAATCAGAATTGCATAACTACACATCCATAACTTCATAACTATACATTCAGAATTGCATAACTACACATCCATAACTTCATAACTATACATTCAGAATTGCATGCATAACTACACATCCATAACTTCATAACTATACATTCAGAATTGCATAACTATACATCCATAACTTCATAACTATACATTCAGAATGTGAAATTATAAAATTATGAACATATGTTTACGTAACTAACGACAATCAAAAATAATTTTTTTTAAAAGTAAAACGACATCGTTTTTGCAACCGTGTGCACCATGCATGATGTACACGGTTGCACAGCATAATTTGCCGTCGTGCTTGGACTAATCCATGTGAGCTGCCCATGCTTCCGTTTTTGCAACCGTGTGCACCATGTATGGTGTACACGGTTGCACAGCATAATTTGCCGTCGTGCTTGGACTAATCCATGTGAGCTGCCCGTGCTTCCATATGAGTCTATCTTACATTGCTATATTTGAAATTCAAGGCTCACTCAATATTAAATAGAAAAAGTGTTAAATTGACCTTTAAGTTTAACAAATTAAATAGTATGATTGGAATCCTTAAAAAAAATCGAATGAAGTTTTCTTAAACTAGCTAGTAAAATAGTGTAATTAGGCCCTATTATTACCTATTTAATTAGTAGGTTATCAAAATTCTCATAGTGTTTAAGATCAAAAAGATCAATCAATTGAATTGCACACAACCACATAATGAATATCATATATATCAATTGCAAGCCTAAAGTGGAAGTGAGCAATTGTAGTCCTAAACAAGCCTCACAAGTGGGTTAAGAAGGCAATTCCTTAAAAAAATTGATGCAATAAGGCTTGTCGATAACTACTCCACAATCATAGACAATCCAAAGGCAAAAACAACACAACATTGAATCATACATGTGCACAACATATTCATCCAATTTTCTTTTTGTTTTTCGTTTGTTTTTCTGTTTTTGTTTTTGTTTTTGTTTTTGTTTTTTGTTTTTTGTTTTTTTTGTTTTTTATATATATATATGTATATATATATATATATATATATATATATATATATATATATATATATATATATATATATATATATATATATATATATATATATATATAGGCTACTGAAATTGAATGATGAATGGGAAATTTTGGTTTTAGGGTAGCAGCTAGCTTAGGAGTTAGGACCATGTATTATGTATATATGCGTTGTTTTTCTTGTGAGTAAAGCAGGGGGGGGGGGGGAGGGGGGGGGGGAATCATGGCTTCAAACAAGTTTAACCCCATTTTGACATTGGCTCCAAAACTTGAAGGTTGTTATGAATATATTATGCA